TCTTCATAGATCCTCAGAAAACAGGTAAAAGGACGTCGAGTGATGTCATCAGTGTGACTTTTATTTCAAAATAAGAGATTATTTGTTATGCAGTAACACCAGTGACACGACTCCTGGGGACCTTTCATTACATATTCTATAATATTTATTTGGCATTTGTTTTCTTTGTCATTTAATTCTTATATTCCATAGTCATGTATAGATTATTGCAGTTAAAATAGCAGAAAAACGTGTTTTTTACTTCAAAATATGGCCTCAGCCTTCACACATGACTGTGAGGACGAGCTCTTCTGTGGTGCTTGGAATTCTAAATAATTGATTTAAAAACCAATATTGCTAAATTGAGGCTCAAAAAGGTGTAATTGTTAAAATTACTTATTGCTTTATTTCAAAATATAAATAAATTGTAACCCTAACATGTTTTTTTAAGTGTAATATATCTGTAAACACTAGGGACACCAAAATGGGTGTTTCTGTCGAATGACCCAATTAATTAACAGAATTATTTAGCAAAAAATCCAAAAAGAACATGAAACTAAATATATCATAAATATATCCAACTTAATTGAAAACTTTTAAAAGATGACTTTTGCTGTCAGTTTGGTCTCTAACTCATATACACTTAAACAAAGATGGTGCTTCAAGGGTTCTTTAGAAAAGGCAACGGTACCATATGTTCTGTATAGAATCATTAAATGGTTCTTTGCATGGTGAAATAGTTTCCTCTGGGGTTCTTCTGTGATAATGAACTTAACATTGCAGAACCTCTTTGGTGTTTGGTGTAGAGTTCTTTTCAAAAGTCTTCTATATAGAACCATATATAACACGTTCTCCATCAAACTGAAGGAACCCTTTCACCATGCAAAGACCAATTAAGCTTGAAATGGTTCTATATAGATCTCATGGTTCTAAACAGAACCATTCCCTTTACTAAAGAACTCTTTCAGAAGAAACACAGCACACTTAAAAATGGTTCTTTAAGGGTTCTTTAGTAAAGAGAATTGTTCTATGTGGAACCATGAACACTTCACATGATTAAAGGGTTCTTTGCATAGTTAAAGGGTTTCTCAGATCGATGGAGAATGTGCTGTAAATGGTTCTGTGTAGAACCTTTTTGAAAAGGGTTCTATATAGCATCCAAAAAGTTTTCTATTGTAAGAAGTGTGATATCATAACAATAGAAGAACCTTTTTTTTGGTGCTATACAGAACTCTTTTCAAAAAGGTTCCATCTACAACACGTTCTCCATCAATCTGGAGAACTCTTTCACCATGCAAAGAACTGTTTAATCATGCAAATGGTTCTTTATAGAAGTCATGATTCCAAATAGAACCAGTGCCTTTACTAAAGAACCCTTTCCACTGCGCACGTTTAATTATCGTAAAGCTCTTTTCCTCCAGTTACTGCCAATAAACATGAACACAGCTCATCATCAGAGCTGCTCCTGTATTGATCTTCACCTGCAGATCAATCACAGCACTTAGAACCATCTAAACCAATTATCTCACACAGGCCGAGTCAGTGTTCAGACACAGCAGTGCAATCATCAGCCTCGCACACCGACTACGCTGATTATTGATCACTGATTATTGGTAGACTGTGGAAGCGGAGTGAGATGCTGCCCTATACTTAGGGTTTCTCACTCTCTGGTGGTCTTCAGGCCTGCACTGTGGAGGACAGAGTGGTCAGTCATGGGTCGGCGATGGCACTTTATACAAATCAGGGAGAAAATGACTGACATTTTGTTGATTGTTACAACTTGCCCCTCTTACAGTTGACCCCACCTGTGGGGCAAGTTGTGACATTTGCACTCCCACCGGTTTCTGGTGAACTGTTCAGAAAACTGTGTGTTGGTCAGCGGTTTGCCATGAAGACGTGAAGCTGGAGGTTCATTTGTTGAACAGCAGCAGAAGCCGAAAGCTGGACAGTTGAGTTTGGAGCGTCCACTGTGCGTGTGCACTGGGTCAGTGCTGGACGATATTTTTCCTGATTTCCTGAGCGGATCCTGTTGCGGTGATGAAGTCACTCCTCAGCAGTGATGTGAGGCTGCGTTCAGAGTAATTGCAGTTTCTGTGTACTGAGAGATCTAGCCTTACAGTTCAGCGTGACTGGACCCACGTATGGACGGACGGATCGCTTTTCGTATAACGAGCTGTGCTGTGCTTCTCGTCCTTTAACCCTCACTTAACCCTTAAAGACGTGGGCGTTTCCCACCTGCCCTTATAGACCTCACGACCTGAAACATGCAGCACTGCGCCAGTCTTAGCCCCCAAAACTCTTTATCTGGACAGTAAGTGTGTTTTTACCAGTAGAAACATTACATAACAATATAAACTACTGATGGAAATACATGTGTCAAATCCATCAGCAGCACCTGAAGGACTGATTAGATAAACCAGGTGTCTGTAAATACTGGACTTCCTCCAGCAGAGATTTGGAAACGCACTGACCACTATGGGTGGTTTATTAGTTTATTTAGGTTTATTTTTTGAACAAATAAATGAACGACCTCTTCACGTGTCCCCAAACAAATGCGATTCGCATGAAATGATCACATAACCTGGGGTTATTTCTATGGTTCATTTTATAACATGCATTAATACACCCTGGGTTATTATATGCTCCATTTTAGAGAACAGGATTGATATAATCTGGAGGTACAGTTCATTTTATAGCCAGGATTAATATAACCTCGGAATATTTTTACTGCTTGTTTTATTACACATGGTTAATATAACCTGGGGTTATTTTTATGGTTTGTTTTATAGCACAGGATTAAGATAAACTGATGTTAGTTCTGAACTTCATTTATAGTACAGGATTAATATAACCTGGGATTAATATAACCTGGGATTATTTAGATGCTTCATTTTAGAGAACAGGGTTAATATAACCTGGGATTATTTAGATGCTTTATTTTAGAGAACAGGATTAATATAACCTGGGATTATTTAGATGCTTCATTTTATGGAACAGGATTAATATAACCTGGGATTATTTAGATGCTTTATTTTAGAGAACAGGGTTAATATAACCTGGGATTATTTAGATGCTTCATTTTAGAGAACAGGATTAATATAACCTGGGATTATTTTACAGTTTATTTCATTGATAGGATTAAAATAATTTGGGATTATTTATATGCTTCACTTTAGTGAACAGGATTGTTATAATCTGGAGGTGCTGGATTAATATAACATTGGAATACTTTTACTGCTTGTTTTATTACAAATGATTAATATCAACTGGGTTTGTTTTATAGCACAGGATTAATATAATCTGGGATTATTTAGATGCCTCGTTTTATAGAACAGGATTAATATAAACTGAGGTTATTTCTACACCTCATTTATAGCACATCATTATAGCCGAGGATTAATATAACCTGGGGTTATTTATGTGCTTCATTTTATAGAATAGAATATCATAATCTGGAGGTACGGTTCGTTTTATAGCACTGGATTAATATAACATTGGAATACTTTTACTGCTTGTTTTATTACAATGAATTGTATAACCTGGAGTTATTTTATGGTTTGTTTTATAGAACAGAATTAATATAAACTGAGGTTATTTGGACACCTCATTTTATAGCCCAGGATTAATATAACCTGGGATTATTTAGATGCTTCATTTTATAGAACAGGATTAATATCCCCTGGGATTATTTCTACACCTCATTTTATATCATGGGAATAATATAACCTGGTGTTTCTTTTACAGTTTGTTTTATAGTATGATATTAATATAACCTGGCATTATTTCTGTGGTTTATTTTGTAGCAGGTAAAGCTGCTGGAACCTTTACTGAGGCTTTACTGATGGATTCAGACGGGACTAAAATCACTGAGAAACACCCGTTTTAATCTCATTGCCCCACCTCGCCATGTAAACCTAATCCTGCCTCAGTATAGCTATAGAGTTAAAACCGCTAACAGGATGGCAGATGTGTGTCGCTGCGTTTTAACGAGCTTTGAGTACTGGTTAATTAGAATCAATTTGGCTTGATTAATCTAGTGTCCGCTATATTCATTATTGCATTAATTACGTGACGTTTATCACTTTTACTGAGATTGCTGTCCTGCTCTTCGGAGCAGCAGCCTCAAGGACTTTCTCTGTCTTGTAAACCGCCTCTCTGGAGGAAAGGAGATCTGAATCTCTGAACTGGGTGATGAAATAGTCTTCAGACTTTATCTATCTGCCCTGAAACCTTCCGTCCTGGATGTCCGCTGTGTTTTCGGCTTCCTACTGCACATTTCCACGGCTACAGCCACACCAGATAGGCTTTAATGAATTTACATTCACACAAAGGTGTTTCTTAACCTGTTATAAAGCTGCTTTAGCAGATCTGGTCCTGATCTTTTAAGAATTAATGAAGGCCGGGCTTCAAATTAAGAAGTGAGAGCACATTTCACTAAAAATCTACGTTTTTCAAAATTTAAAAATTAAAATGTCTGATTTAAAAGTGAAATTTACCAATTTTCTAGAGAAACTTACTGAGTCAGGACTGATCGCAGTGGAGGTGATAGGAACCAGACGTCCATCTCTAAAAGCTCCCTCACAGAAAGTTACTACATGACACTGTTGTATGATAGTTTTAAGAATATTTTGGTCTAAAACATGAATTTAAACTCCATTCATGGTGGAGGGATACATGCAGGGTGTTGTGAGGCAAAATAGTCCCTAAAGAAAACTTATTATTTTCAGATTTTCCACTATTTTCCATCATCAACATCCCATATGAACTCAGAAGACTCGTGTAGGTTCACTGGTGGTTCTGGATAGTAAATAAAATGTCTATATTTGTGTTGTAGTCATGGCGACCCCAGGTTCCTATCACCACCACTGTAAAGACATCTGAACCATTTCACACCAAACCTCTCTGAATCACTCTGTTTACATCTCACACACTGAATTATGCAGAAATTTAGAAAAATTGGTGGTATTCCCCTTTAAGTAGAGTATTAAGTGTTTGTCCTGTTCTCTTTTTCTTCTCCTCAGGTGGTGCTGGTGTTCGCTCTCAGCATCGGAGCCCTCGTCATTTACTTCATCGACTCTTCTGAGTGAGTTTTCCTTCATTACTTTGCGACAGAAGGAGTGACTGTATGCTTTTCTTTACTTGCCTTTCAGCTCTAATACTGTCCTGATGTCTGTGTAACTGCGTGCATCACCAGAGCGCTCACAGGTGATCAACACAATGAGGCATTATGACGCAAAGGGTTTCTGCGCGTGTGCGTGAGAGAGAGAGAGAGACAGAGAATAAGAGAGAGAGAGAGAGAGAGAGAGAGAGAGAGCGAGAGATAAGCCACTTGTCCTTACATCATTTCAGGCCATATTCATTTGTCTGCGGCTCATTTCATCCTCCCTCTGCACGCTGACCTTGCTGGCCAGATTAAGGATGTACCAGCCATTATATAAACACGCAGCTAAGGACATTCAGATGCTCAGTATTCCTGCTTAATGCCCCATTCAGTGATTAGTTAGAGCACTGTTTCCCAATCCTGCTCCGGCAGAACGCCCTCCATCACTCCCCCCCCCGCCCCCCTCCCTGCCTGTCCAGCACCTTTCAGTGTTTTCCTGTTCCAACACACCTGATTCAGCATCATCAGCTCATAAACAAACCATCTGTGAGGGTAGAGTGGTGTGTTAGAGGAGAAAACACTCAGACTCTCTTTATCCCTTAGAATAAACCAGCGGTTTTTGTTACTGCGCCTTTAAGACTGATGTGTGTAAGTCACGTGTAGGGTGAGAAGGCGGAGCTTAACTGCTGTAGGTTCTTTTGAGAGTTCATGGTTCTATATATAGCTGTCGCCTTTACCAAAGACCTCTTAAAGAGCCACTGTTTTCGGGATGCAGGGCCAAAAGGGTGCTCCGGTAGAACATGAACATGTTTAAAATTGTTTTAATTATCTGTTAAGCCTCGGGGTTCACTAGGCCACTTTTACAGCCTCAACAGATTCTAAAAGACTGGGCGTCTCGCACCATCAGACTGGTGTTTGCGGAGTTTTTTGGGCGGCTGAAATGTTGGGGATCCAAACTAAACAATTAGGGAATCACACACTACTCGACTTTTCAGCTGCTGCTGAACCGAATGGAGCTCACTGTACTCTCGCGAACTCTCGCGTTCTCCCGTTACCAGGAGACGCAAATAAACAAACATGGAGCTGCTGCTGCTGTTTTCTCTGCCGTTTGCGCTGAAACAGTAAGGAAGCAGCAGGTAAACAGGTTTAAGTGAGACTCATTCATTTATAAATGTGATCGGTTTGGTATTTTTTAGAGTTTTAAAGGTACATAAACTCGATTGTGCCTTAAAATGCGTCGCTCCACACGTGAGAGACTTTTCGCCATTATTTCTTTGTTTAATTGCTGTATTTTCTTCTTTCGCGCTCTCTGTTTTTATTGGCTGTTGCAGGAATCTGTTCAGATCGAGTCGTTGATCAGTTTACACTACATTACACTCAGAGTCGGGTCGAAACAATCAAACGTGTCTGATAAACTCCGACTGGTCTGAAACGCGATCAGGAGGCAGTAAATCTGAGTCTGCGCCCCTCAAACACGACACGATTCTCTTCAAGACAACGGCCGACCAGCACAGACTCGGCCAGACCGAAAATCGGGCTAAAATCGGGGTAAAAGTCGTGTAGTGTAACCCCAGCTTTACACACTGTATGATAATCCAGCCATAAATAGCCAATAAACATAATTATGCATGCATTAACCCCTTAACTTTTCAAATATGCAGAGTTATTTTTAGGTAATAAAAGTGTGTAATACAAATGAAGTGGACAAGTCACCAGCAAAGCTGCTGTGACATCTTAATTTATAATCAGAGGATAAGTGCTGTCTGTGATAGTGTTTTGTTTGCAGACTTTGTGGGGACGGGGCATCATATCTCCAAGTGCTAGGGGCACCAGAGGATCAAAATTTCTGCATAACTCAGTGTGTGAGATGTAAACAGAGTGACTCAGAGTGGTTTGGTGTGAAAATGGTTCAGATGTCTTTACAGTGGTGGTGATAGGAACCAGGGGTCGCCACGACTACAACACAAATATAAACATTTTATTTACTATCCAGAACCACCAGTGAACCTACACGAGTCTTCTGAGTTCATATGGAATGTTGATGATGGAAAATAGTGGAAAATCTGAAATAATACGTTTTCTTTAGGGACTATTTTGCCTCACAGTGCCCTGCATGTATCCCTCCACCATGAATGGAGTTTAAGTTCTCAAAACGATCATAAAACAGTGTCTCAGTCATCAGGCAGTGAATTCATAACCATTTCATGTAGTAACTTTCTGTGAGGGAGCTTTTAGAGGTGGACGTCTGGTTCCTATCACCACCACTGTGAACAGTTCTGACTCAGTAAGTTTATCTAGAACAGAGCGTTTCACACCAAACCACTCTGAACGACTCTGTTCACATCTGAACCGTTTAACTATGCAGAAAGTTTGGTGGAAAAAAATTAAAATCTCTCTTTTGGAGATTCTGAAGGTTTTTTCATGACGGTGATGATATTGTACGGTTAATATACTGATATAACACTTACTGTGCTATATAAAGTAGTAGTGATACAGGTGCTAAAACTGGTTCTTTTGAGCAGCGCCGCAGCAGCCCCACTTTTGGTTCCCTTTCAGTGGAAGGTTCTTTAAACCACTCAACCAAAAGGTTCTTCTGGCATTGCTCCAAAAAACCCTTTTTAAGCACTTCTATTTTAAGAGTGTAGCTGGGTACATGGAGCTGGTTACTGCTGCTGGCTGGTCCAGCGCTGTGGTCATTACAGCGGTTGGTGTTTAGCTGTAATTTCTGGCAGATTGGTGAGAGAGATGTGATTGTTCTACTAATTACACCGTGTTCCACTAATGCAGTGATGAGGAAGAGGAAAAGGCTGACTTCCTGTCTGAAAGGAAACAGCATCAATTAGAGTGGGTCAGAGTAACCAGCACTGCACGATACAGACCAAATACAGCATTACAGTGAAAATGACACAGTGGGGTCCAAACGTCTGAGACCACTGGTGAAAGTGCTTCGGTATGACGGTCTTTTCTAGTTTAATACAAAGTTTTTCTTTACAAATTCTATTATGGGCATAAACAATCGGAGTTGGATCTTTAAAAATTTAACCTGAATTTCAGAATTTCATAGTGTTTACTCCCCTTTTGTGGCACAACTCATCAGTCTCATCCGTGGATCTGATCCTCCTGAGAGTCGTCTGAACACGAGCTTCACTGGAAGAGGCCAAAAACAAATCTGACCATTTTTGTACAAAAACCTCAAAATGGCCAGTGACACAAATTTGCTTTAATTTGAATAGTGAGCTAGAAATAGTGCAGAATTTTGAGTATTACTCCCTCATTTTACTTGATTAAATGAAAACATTCCTAGATTTTTCGATGTGCCCTCAGATTTTGGAGTGTATATATATATATATATATATATATACATGTGTGTGTGTATATATACATATGTGTGTATATATATATATATATATATATATATATATATATATATACACACACACACACACCTCTTTTCTCATTCGGATGGAAACTGAACATGCTATTTTTGACCATTTTCGGTGGCTGAAATTTCTCATAACTCGCACGTTTAAGGTCAGAGAATTTTCCTGCAGCTCTATAAAGATGCTTTTTCCATGCAGCGCTGCCACCCAGGAGGCCAGAACCAGGGAATCTGACTTCACTGGTGTTGTATTGAAGGTTTTATTTTATTTTTGGAGTTGATATCTCAGCATTTCTTAGGCGTCTGTCTCCTCTGGCCTCCTCTCAGCTGCACTCAGCAATAGGGCTGCACAATATATCGCTTGTTATTTGTTATCACAGTATTGGCCTTTGCGGTATTGATATCGTAGGTGGCTGCAATGTGCAGATGAGCCTTTTAGCCAGTCACAGACTTCATTACATTCTGGGAGCATTCTGAGCAGTCAGTGTTCCAGATGAATTTCTGGGTGTGTTTGTATTGATTGATTGATTCTTTTATTGCCACAGAAACATGGTGGTGGTAATTGTTTCTGGTGTAAGTGAGTTGAAGATGTAATTCAACTCAATACTCATACAGTATAGTACATTTACAGTAAACAATGTACAGTACAATACACAGTATACAACATTTGGCATAGGAGCAGGGGTCGGCAACATGCGGCTCTTTTAGTGCCCTCTTGTGGCTCCACAGCTGAATTAGATTTGTAGGTAAAAATAAAATAATCCTCCTTTACAGTAAAATAAAGCTCTGCTGATCGTTCAACACAGTTTAACAATAAATGGTCTTAAACTCTGGAGTTGAACTGCTAATTCACCCTTTAACACTGAAGATCAGCACAGACAGCTGGTCACCATAGCAACACAGGCAAGAATCTCACTAGCTAGTAGCTAATGAAACAGCAAAGAGAGAGATTTAAGATGAACATCGATAATTTAGAGATGAATGGAATATACCGCCATGCAAAAATATATACAGTATATATGTGTATATATAGGTCCATTCATTATGACACTTTCACATAATGTGAATAGCTCAAATGTTTAATAGCTATTAATACCAAATGGTGTCTTTCTATGAGAATGAAAAAAACGTTTTATTGTATGTTAAAGTAATGAGCTTTTATTTAAAGTAACAGCTGGTGTTTGCAAATAATGTAATAAATCAAAAATGAAGCACAATGGAGTCACAGCGTTGTGATGTGCAAGTCATGTCACAGTAGCAGTATGTAATGATCACAGTACGGTCTTCTATCTATGTATTAGGGGTAAGATTCGATTTGATTATGATTCAGAGGCTTCGGTGCGATTATAAAACGATTATCGATGCATCTTTTTTTTTGTATACATCATTTTTTTTTCTCTGTGTGACGACTTGGTAATTTTAAAACAAAGTATTTGTAATGATCCATAATGAATTTACTTCCAGTATCCTTAATTAATAAATCAAATGGAAGTGATGTGGCGAGTGAACTGGAAGGCTCTTATTCAGTGCCTTTTGAGCACATGAGACGCTGCTGCCACTCATCTGTGATAAAATGCGCAGTTACGGTGAAATAAGGTCCAGT